TGAGCCACCGCACCCAGACCCCCGTTAAAATTTTTTTGACTTGGCACTGGCCCCTGCTGCCTTATGGAGAAGTCGTCAACCTCAGTGGGAAGAAATGTCAAACATACTTGCTGCGTGGCTTTTACCAGCCATAGAAACTTAATAAAATTTAAACTTATCCTAGTGATAGCACTGAATCATGAAGCTTACCTTTCCTGTCTGAGAAAAGGGGGAAAGGATTTGAATTAAGTATGTGTAAGATTCTCTTTTCTATAACTGGTATCTCAGTTAAGCATAATTAAGACACTTTTGGAAAAAGTAGATATGTTAGTTGAATTCCAGTTAGAATTATTACAGACTTTAGGTATTGTCTATGATTCATAAATTCTATACTTCTGACCTAGGTGTGCATTAGCTTAGGGAAGGATTTGGGTTGGTGGTTTTGTGGAGATAGAAGAAAATGAATAGGATTTCTTAGTTTTAATAAAAAACTGAAAAGGAGAAACTACAGATAGGTAAAAAGTGAAACTTGTTCATTTTTAGTTTGGAATTCTCAAGTTAGTTATGCTTTACCTCAGATTTTTTTAGTTTAATTATTGGTTCTTAAACCTTTGGTACAGCCTTAAAGGATAATGATAATAACTTGAGTATTTAGAGCCATCTTATCATGTGATGAATGCATTGGATAACTGAAAAGTTGTTGTGTTTGAGACTTAGACTTAATTACTGCTTATCTTAATTTGAGACTTTAAAATTCTCATTCATTATATCTAAATTTTTGTAAAAATTTCTAAGAAATTTGTAAGGAAGTCACAGTTTTAAAATCAGGCATATAGAAAAATGAGGCGTTAAGAAATTTGGATATTTTAAACATTGTTTAAAGTAAAAACTTTGGATTTATTTAGGGGACTGGATGAAGGTGTTTCTTGTACGTCAATTTATGAAAAGCATAGTGCAGGACTGACAAAGGGGATGCATGCCTACAGGTAATTTTTATCCAACTAAAGTTAGATCTATTCTCAAAATTCCTAAAATCACTATTATATACAGTCAACCCTTTGCCATATAGTTATACATATTAATAGGCATTTAAATATTACAGACAGAGTAGTTGAGAATGTATTGATATTTTATTTGGGTAAGACTATCTCAGTTTTAAGAGTTATAAAAATGTTAAGGCTAATATTTTGAAGTTGATACCCCTGAAATTATACCATATTTCATCAATTCTGAGGTGCACATTTTCTCACATTTTAACATTTCTGAAATTGGCATGTGTCATACAGTTGGTGGAGTGTTGTCTTTTACTTGACAGCATTTTTTATCTTTCTTGATCATACGGAAAGTAATGGAATGTCTTACAATTGATAGCATCTTAGATTTTCTGAAATACCTTTTTTGGAACTGTAAGCATGAGCTCAAATTTATAACAGTGAGAATTTGTAAATTGGGAGACATAATTTTTTTAATTGTTATCCTTTGTTAAAGCATAAAAATATACCAATGTATTGCATATTTTAAAGATAAATGCCATTTTCAAGTTAAATTAGAAATTTTCTTGTACTTTTGTAGCATGTTCTTTCAAATGGTTAAAACACACCAAAAAATGACTCATTCAGACTTATACTTCATAAAAGACAAGAATTACTATACCATATACAAATTACTATGAAAAGGAATTAAATAGAAGGATTTAAATAAGTTTTTAAAAGCATTTTTTCTTTTTTTCGAGACGGTCTTGCTCTATTGCCCTGGGTAGAGTGCAGTGGCATCATCATAGCTCACTGCAGCCTCCAACTCTTGGGCTCAAGTAATCCTCTTGCCTCAGCCTCTTGAATAGCTGGGACTACAGGTGTACACCACCACGCTGGCTGATTTTTTTCTATTTATAGTAGAGATGGGGTCTTGCTCTTGCTCAGGGTGGTCTCGAACTCCTGAGCTCAAGCAGTCCTCCTGCCTCAGCCTCCCAGAGTGCCCAGATTACAGATGTGAGCTACCATGCCTAGCCAAAAGCATTTTTTCTAAAAGTCAAACGTACAGTGTTTTGAAATGAACACTCTTAGCACAGTATTCTTATTAGAAAAATAATAAAAGATCCCTCATATTTATTTGGTTTCTTGCAAAAATGAATTCTAATTCAAAATTATTAAATTGTTTTCAAGGTTGGAGAAGAGAACCTTTTGCTCACATGGTTATAGACTAATGGGAAAGATAGTTGTCACATATAAAGATGTCAGACAAAATAAAATGCTTTAGTAGTTATCTAGCATTGATTTCTTGATTTAAATATTATACGTAGAGAGTTTGAATTGTAGAAGACAAGTATTTAGAAACATGAATTTAAGAGTAGTCCGTGGTTTGAGCTTTATCTAATATAATGTCTTTACTAAATTATACTATAATTATATAATATAATGTAATACTATTACTATATTTTCCTGTTATAGGAAATTGCTTTATGGAGTAAATGAAATTACTGTGAAAGTGCCTTCTGTTTTTAAACTCCTAATCAAAGAGGTAAGACTATTGTATATAACTTAACAGTTGTGATCAATAGATTTGTCAGTTTGGAAAGAGTTATTATTAAGTAACAAGATATTCTTGGTTTTCTGTTTCCTAACTTTTCTTTCCTTATTATTTCATTTGAAAGGTAAAAGTGGAGAGAGAATTCGGGGCATAGATTTAAAAAAAAATTTGTATAATTTTGCTTTTATTAAATGTTGACTTGTTTTTACTCTCAAGAAATTACACATTTAAGTCTTTCCTTATCTTACAGACACATCTACCTGTCTTTTTTTCCCTTCGTTTTTAAAAATCAGTTCATCATATTTTCTTTTTCATGTGGTATTTTGTGGTACATTATGGGAGATGGGGCATTATCCCAGAAGTTTGGAATTTTAAACATGACATGATGATCCACCTTGAGAAGCTTACATTGTAGTCTGGGGGGAAACATGTCAGTAGTTACTGTAGTGACTGGACTGTTCAGTTGTAAGTGCATACAGAGGTGTGAATAAAGGATTATGGGCATGTAAAGGAAGGGAGTAAGTGTCTTTGCCTAGCCGTTAGGCTTTCCAGTCTTTGTTGTGGTTTTTGGCTAAAGATCAAGAATTAGTTGTATTGGGTGAATAGTTTTAGTAGAAATAAGAATGTTTGCCATCAGTTCCTAAGAGTGGCCATATGGTCTTGCTAATGAACATAGCATAGTGTAGTGATTAGGAATTGGAAAGCCTGATTAGTGTAATATGTTTCCATCAGTAACTAACTTTAGTCTTTAGTAAACCTTTCTATCTGCTACTCCTTTATCTATAAACTTGGAATAATAAGTTTTTTCTAGTTATCTCATTTGGTTTTGAGGTAAAATAGGACTATGTATATGAAAGTGCTTTGATAATTACAGAAGCAATAATTTTAAGACAATGGGGGGTTATTAATGAAATTGATAAAATGTCATGACATTTGGGTAAGCAAAATTCATTGTCCCTTATCTCTTTTTCATTCAGGGTTTACTAATTATTTTCTTAGAGAAAGCAAAACAATATATATAACCCATTAACTTTTATCTTCCCTTTGGACTTCAGTGGACTTTTGACATATAAGTAAATTTGTGTTTTGAGTTCATGATAAGTAAACATTTATTCCATTTGATTAAGTGTTTTGCATATTACTAGCCTAGAGCACATTAGAAATGAATGTATTTTATTGCTAAAGCAGAATGCAGAACAGCTAAATTTATACACTTTAGCCTTTTCTAGCCAAATCTATATTTGGGTGGTATGAATCTAAATGGATGCCAATAATTTAAATTTAGCTTATTTAGCTAAATTCTGGTAGTTTAATGATAAACAAGAATATGATAACATATTGTCTTACTCTTTAAGATGATAAATGTTGCTGTTTGGGTACTATATAATGTATCCTATAGGTATCTGGTTACTTGTCAGTGAAAAAGTGGAGAATCTGCATGGTTATATCTCATTCACTTTAACTTAAACATCTTGTTTTCTAGGTTCTCAACCCATTTTACATTTTCCAGCTGTTCAGTGTTATACTGTGGTGCACTGATGAATACTATTACTATGCTCTAGCGATTGTGATTATGTCCCTAGTATCCATTGTAAGCTCACTATATTCTATTAGAAAAGTAAGTCCAAATTTATTATGGGTTTCACAACTGTATTTGTATTTTGTAATAACATATAAGCTGAGTATAATAGCTTGATACAAGGTAAATACTCAACGCAGTATTTTAGTTGCATGAATATATACTCTTTCCTTCTTCCCCTACCTTGTTTGTTTGGGTTTTTTTGGAGGTTGGGGGGAAGGCAGGTATGTTTTAGAGTCAGACTACCACTTGACTGCTTAGAAGATACAGAGATTTATAGTTGCTTATTACAGACTGGAATACTGGAAGGCTGGTTCTACTGTTTCATTAAAACAGTCTCATTAAAGTCCTTATTTTGTCTTGAGCTAAAACAGTGAATAATCTCTGAATCTCTGACTCTTGACATTTTATAAAGGCAGAGTAGTATGCATTTATTGTATTCACTTACTGAGGGAGGAATGGGTTCATATGGGCTTGTTTTTAATTTCCTTTTCCTCTTTCAGCAATATGTTATGTTGCATGACATGGTGGCAGCTCACAGTACTGTGAGAGTTTCAGTTTGTAGAGTAAATGAAGGTAAGTACTTGAAGTGACCATTGGAAAAATAAACCAAAAAAGATACCCACTAAGCACTGTTGTGTGAAGTAAGCCCAAGGTATTATACATATATATATATATTTTTTTTTTTTTGAGACAGAGTCTCACTCTTTTGCCCGGGCTAGAATGAGTGCCGTGGCGTCAGCCTAGCTCACAGCAACCTCAAACTCCTGGGCTCAAGCAATCCTTCTGCCTCAGCCTCCTGAGTAGCTGGGACTACAGGCATGAGCCACCATGCCCGGCTAATTTTTGTATTTTTGGTAGAGACAGGGTCTTGCTCTTGCTCAGGCTGGGTTCGAACTCCTGAGCTCAAACAATCCACCCGCCTCGGCCGCCCAGAGTGCTAGGATTACAGGCGTGAGCCACTGCGCCCCCCGGCCATTATACATATATTAATGCATTCGTTTTTTAAGAACTAAAGATATATGTTTGGATTCCTGAGAGTGTATCAGATTCATTCACTTATGTAAAACTATTTTTCTTTTCTATGTGACAGGCACTGTGCTAGGCTCTGGGGATTCTGTCTAGGGGCAGATGATAAACAGTAGCAATAAAGTGTGACAAATGCTGTGATAGGGAGAGGCCAGGTCTTACAAGTTAGGGAGAGCTCATTTACTGTAGGTATCAGGAATAGCTTCTTTGATGTATTTTTAAGTGGTGACTGTTTGTATTAGTCAGGTAAAAGGTAGGTGAGAAGTTGCTAAGGGGAAGGTGAGAGTGGGGAGAAGAGGGTATTAAATGCCCGGAGGCCTGGAAATTATTAATAGAAATCATGTGGTCATTGTAAGAACCAACAGAAATTTGGTGTGGCAGATGGAGCAATTAATTGACAGCGGGCCTTCTAAGGCAATAAATGTTAAGGAATTTGGACTCAGTCCAAAAGGCAGTGGAAAGCCATTGAAGGGTTTGAAGCAAGGAAGTGATATCATTTGGCTTCCATGTGCAAACTGGTTTAGAGGGGTATAATACTGAGGGCATGGCCTCTTTATCAAGGTAGGAGCTGTAGAGATGAAGAGAAGTGAGAATACGTTTGAAAGATAATAAATGTGAATATTGAACAGGATGTGGTGAATCATTGGATATTAGATCATGGAGATGTGTCAGGCTGTGTGGATGGATGTTGGTGCTATTTAATTACATAGGAAAACGTGGAAGAGGAGGAGGATTGTAGGAAGGATAATGTTTTGGATATGTAAGTTTATCTGGTGAGATGTTGAAGAGGTAAAGAAGAGGCAGTAGCCGCTTTGATTTATCCAGAATACCAAATCAGTCTCCATTCTCTTAACTCGGTAGACTACACGCAAGGGATTTCCCTTCCTGTGCTTCCTGGCCACTTGCTACTTTAGCTGGGAGGATCTTCCTCCCCTAGCTGCTGTCTTGGAGATATGTGGTTTATTGGTACTTCTCCTCTTCTTGCTCTGCTGCTGCTGAAGTTATTGGGGATGCTAAAACAGACATACCTTTCAACTTTTATCTTCCTTACCCCCTTTGTATAGTCTTACATATCACTGATATTTTGTTTTCTGGTACACCTAAAAGGAATAGAATTTCAAGTGGCATTAAAGCTTTAAGGAAAGTCGAGTTTTACAATAGGGGCCTTATTTTAAAAAAATGAAGATTAATACACCTACTATGTGCTAAATATTCTATAAAAGTTATTTCCTCATAATTTAGTAAATGACTTTCTTTTCTTTTTTTTTTTTTAGAAAGGAAAGAGAGAAGAGTATTTGTCTTACAGACAAACATAACAAAACAATTGCTTTCTCCTCACCCATCTGCATTTATAAACTAGTGTGACTGTCTTCTGAGCACAGTGTTAACCTGAGACAGGTGTGGGGGGTGAGAGGGGAGGGGAGAATGAGAGGAAAAGAGAGAGAATGCCTAAATATAAAGTGATCCTAAAGAAAACCTTTTCCCCTGGCAAGATCTTTTCAAAAAGTGTTTAGCTAACTTAAATTTATAGAGAAATAATGAACTAGATAAAATATTATAATGTTTAATTTATTTAATAAATTTAGTAATATTTAAAATAATTTAAAAAAACTAACTTATGAATATTGAGAAGGTAATGAGACAGTGACAGTGAGAAAAAGAATACTATAAAAAATGCTGTTGAAAGAATGTTAAATTTTTCAGTGCTTCTTGTTGTTTCTGTGGGACTATTAGAAATCTGAATTTATTTTACCTGTTTCAGGGGGATCTTCTGTGTGGACTCATTGTGTCTATTTTCTGAGACTGCTAAATAGCTAAAATTGACCATTGACAGTTGTCAAGAGTGTTGAAGTTACTGACTTGGTTGGTTGGAGGGTACTTGGCATCACCTGTGCTCCGTTTGGCATCCCATCAGGAGACAAACTAGCTGACACACCACACTTTGTTTGCCTAGTGATCTTATTAGTCAAAACTTTCCATTTATTGGGATTTACCTACTTTAACCCCATTATATTATTAACTTATTATTGAGATCAAGTGACCATTGGATAGATTGTTTGCTATAGTTTTATTCCAAGTTAAAGAATATTCTTCTCAGAGTTTTCTTTCTTTCTTTAAATTCAGAAATAGAAGAGATCTTTTCTACAGACCTGGTGCCTGGAGATGTCATGGTCATTCCATTAAATGGGACAATCATGCCTTGTGATGCAGTACTTATTAATGGTACCTGCATTGTAAATGAAAGCATGTTAACAGGTAAACTAAACTAAATGAGTAAATATCACACAAATTGTTTATAATGATATTAGGATTAAGCAGTTACTGATTAAGCTTTTTCAGAATTAGCTATGTCATTTGTATCTTTACTCATGAATGTAATTAATGTTATGGATTTTGAAGATTTTTGAATTCTGAGTAGACCAAATTCTGCATTATATATACTCAGCTGTGCTACTAAAGTACTATGCTGGTGTTGGCCACATCTCTTGGCCTGCCACTGGCCACTTTTTTGACATGAGGAAATGGTTTATAGTAGAGAAAGAGGAAAGAAGTCCCTTGCCTGCAGAAAATGCAACATATAGTATTTGTTTCCCTATTTGATGTGTGAAAAGTGGGAATAAATAAAGATTTTATATTTTTCTTGAACTGAGGAGAAGTAGACTTTAAAATGACTTCTTGGCCAGGTGCAGTGGTTCACAGCTGCACTCCCATTACTTTGGGACACAGAGGCAGGAGGATCACTTGAGGCCAGGAGTGTGAGGTCACAGTGTGCTATGATCGGGCCACTGTGCTGTAGCCCAGGCAACAGAGCAAGATCTGTCTCAGAAAAAAAAAAAAATTGTAAAATGACTTCCCTTTGGAAATTCACAATCTGGAGGTGTGGAGCTTTATATCTTCTTTAGTAATATGATTTTTTTAAAAAAAATTATCATAGTCTGGCTAGAAAATGATTCCTGCATAATGTATTTTGAAACTATTAAGAGTCTTGTCTTAAAACATACACTTACACATATACATATTCCTATATACTTACCTTCTTTGAAACAAGAAGAGTGACTACTACAGAGGATAAAATAAAATTTCAAGAAGAATTTGGCTGTTTGTGATAGTTTGAGAGAAACTCCATACTACTTATTCTTCTCTTCGCTCCCTTGCTCAGATGCCTTTTCTCTTCCTTATTTTGGGGGTGAGGTGAGGGGGTTAGAGGTAGGCCTTCACATCTTTTGTGTACTTGAGGTAACAAGAGTGCTTTCCACTTTAGTTATTAGGGATGAGAGAACACATACAGCGGCTATAGCAGCTACTTGCTCTCTTTTTGAAATTATTTCAAATTCTACAACAGTCGTTTCCAAATATATAATATAAACTAGTGTTACCTTTGAATCACAAATCACTTCCTGGAATTATTGTAGGAGACAAAAAATTTGGTATTCCTAGGTGAGGAAATCGGTATACAAAAAGCTAATTGTTTAAGCCGTGTTATTCACATATAGAACACTTAATAACTATTGTAAACAGTATGTAACATTTAGGATTTTTAAAACTTTAAGATTGTTTTGTGTTTGATATTGCTTTCATTTAATAATTTATGTACTTTTATTTTTTTTAAGGAGAAAGCGTTCCAGTGACAAAGACCAATTTGCCAAATCCTTCAGTGGACATAAAAGGAATGGGAGATGAGTTATATAATCCAGAAACACATAAACGACATACTTTGTTTTGTGGTACGACTGTTATTCAGACTCGTTTCTACACCGGAGAACTTGTCAAAGCCGTAGTAGTTAGAACAGGTAGAAAACATTTTATTTAATCTCTTCTTGCATGTTTTAGCATATTTGTTACCCACTGAATATTTAAAAAGAGATTCTGTGTTGGGAGATAATTCTCATTTCCTTATACAAATATAAGTAATTTTCTTCTTTAATTTTTTGAAAGGATTTAGTACTTCCAAAGGACAGCTTGTCCGTTCCATACTGTATCCCAAACCGACTGATTTTAAACTCTACAGAGATGCCTACTTGTTTCTACTATGTCTTGTGGCAGTGGCTGGCATTGGATTTGTCTACACTATTATCAATAGCATTTTAAATGAGGTATGTATGTAGGACTCCACTTATAAGATTTGATCCTTAATTGTTTATCACATGTGGCTATTGAGGATTTGAAATGTGGCTAGTGAGACTGAGGAACTAAAATTTTAAGCTAATAATGTTTTTGTTTGTTTTTAAGCTAACTTAATTTTAATTTAGCATTAAAGGCAGGAGTTTGATAACTGTTATTTTAGAAAGCACAGTTATAGAACATATCCATCATAGCAGACAGTTCTTTTGGATGGCTCTGACTTAGATGCTGTCTTTTACTTGCTCTTTTGTGACTTTAAAGAAAAAAAAAAAAAGGAAAAAAAGACCCCACATACTCACCAAAAGCTTTATTTTCTCTTTGGCCTCTGGGATAGAATATATAATATTAAAATGATTTTTGATGACTTAATTGAAGGCATCTCTAAGGGACGTTGTCAGATTTCCCTTTTCTATCCCCTATAGAGACTGGCACAGTGTGGTGCTTGTGGAACGAGTCAGTATCTGATAAAGTTTGTCGAATTTGTTTTGAAGTGTGTCATGTGTGAAATACGTAGGACTATGAAAGTGAGAGAGAAGTGTCTTTTAAAAATAGCTGTCAAGGCCGGGCGCGGTGGCTCACGCCTGTAATCCTAGCTCTCTGGGAGGCCGAGGCAGATGGATTGTTTGAGCTCAGGAGTTCAAGACCAGGCTGAGCAAGAGCGAGACCCTGTCTCTACTAAAATTGAAAGAAATTAATTGGACAACTAAAAATATATAGAAAAAAAAATTAGCCGGGCATAGCGGCGCATGCCTGTAGTCCCAGCTACTCGGGAGGCTGAGGCAGGAGCATCGCTTGAGCCCAGGAGTTTGAGGTTGCTGTGAGCTAGGCTGATGCCACGGCACTCTAGCCCGGGCAACAGAGTGAGACTCTGTCTCAAAAAAAAAAAAAAAATAGCTGTCAGTCTATAATCCATTAACAATTCTTTGAGTTTTCTATTTTGCAGACTTTCTGAAGGGAAAACATTTTATTTATTTATTTATTTTTTTTGAGACAGAGTCTCACTATGTTGCCTGGGGTAGAGTGCCATGGCGTCATCCTAGCTCACAGCGACCTCAGACTCCTGGGCTCAAGCGATCCTACTGCCTCAGCCTCCCCAGTAGCTGGGACTACAGGCATGCGCCACCATGCCCGGCTAATTTTTTCTATTTTTAGCAGAGACGGGGTCTCACTCCTTGCTCAGGCTGGTCTCGAACTCCTGAGCTCAAACAATCCGCCCGCCTCGGCCTCCCAGAGAGCTAGGATTACAGGCGTGAGCCACTGCGCCTGGCCGGGAAAACATTTTAAATGGTTAATAGATGTATATACATACACACTTAAATATAAAATTGAAAATGGTTTGTAGGTTTTCACTAAGGAAATGTCCACATCAAATTAGTACTTATTTAATATTGGGAGTTTGACACTTATTTTTGTGTTAATTGTAGGTAGAAGTCGGAGTAATAATTATTGAGTCTCTTGATATCATTACAATTACTGTGCCACCTGCACTTCCTGCTGCAATGACTGCTGGTATTGTGTATGCTCAGAGAAGACTGAAAAAGATTGGTATTTTCTGTATTAGTCCCCAAAGGATAAATATCTGTGGACAGCTGAATCTTGTTTGTTTTGACAAGGTTAGTTCAGTTTCATAATCATCCTCAAAAGATTACTTTGTAGCTTTTAAGTGTTTAGATTAATGTTTTCCATTTTCTTTGTCAACTAATTTGTACATATTCTTTAATGTTCCTCTAATTTTCTTCTTTCTCAAATTATTTAGCGTATGCATCATTTTTATGTACAATTAATCCTCAATTATCATCATCAATAGATTCTTGAAAATTGTGACTTTAAGCGAGATGAAGTATAATGAAACCAATTTTATCATAGGCTAATTGATACATACAGGACCAAAGTTCCTGTGGCATATTTCTGTTCACAAAAATATCACCAGACTTCTAAATGAAGACCTAAAACACTACTAATATTAAACATTGAAATAAACACGAGCTATATACACACTTAAGAAAGATTAATAAAAACAGATAATTATTTACACAGTTATTAGTTTTTAGGGTCACAGGTGGCCAGAGACTCTCCTGGCAGCTCAGGGTACAAGGCAGGAACCACCCCTCGATAGGACACACCGTCCTATTGCAGGGTGCACATGCGCACGCGCTCGCGCGCGTTCTCTCTTTCTCTCTCACAGACTGGGACCATTTAGACAAATCCATTCACCTAATATGCACACCTTTGGGATGTGGGAGGAAACCGAACTACCTGGAGTAAAACCCACACAGACATAGGGAGAATGTGCAAACTCCTTACAGACAGTGGCCCAGGCTGGGAATCAGATTTTTTCCCCTCATTAACATGATAGCAAAATGACATTATTTGAGCACTTGCTGAATTGCTAATTTTCTCAATTTTTAATGCTTTGGATATTCCTTATTTGTTCAAATCTGTAATTAACTAATTGTTCACATCCAGAATTGTGCCTTGTAGGAGTAGTAAGTAGTAGTAGTAGTAGTAAAGATCATATGATCTTTCATGTTTTTAGATAGTAATTCTTATTTAACAGAATAGGCTCTATATACATATATTTTCTGTGGTTTTATTGCTCTGAAGTATGTATGTTTAGGGTCTGCTATATGATTTCATTGAGTATATGTTTCAAAATTACAAGGATGTTACCAGTTTTATGGTTTTATGTAAAAATGATGAATTATGTGAAACATAGCTTGCTTTTTACAAAGGTTTCTCCTTTCCTGAGCTAAAATTAGTTTTGAAAGTTCTACCTTGAGAATTAAATCTGGACCAGAAAACCTTCCATCAAGCTCTTCTTGGTAACTGATTTGATAAGAATTTGATTTTTGTGCGTTTCATTATTACAGAAGAAAAATATGAAACGTTTTTTTTGTTAAGAAAAAGAAAAGGTCATATGCTCCCATAACTACTTCATATTTATCTGTTCTGGAAATATCACTTACGTTTGGTCTTTTTTGGAAACTTGATTATTAAAATTTTTAAGCTGACCCAGAAGTGGAGAAAAGGTACATGTATAATAAACTGTTATTTACTCATTACCAGCTTTAACAGTTGTCAGCTTTTTGTCAGTCTTTCATCTACCCCTCATTTTGAAGGGGTGGTATCAGACTTTATATTATTACACCCGTAACTACCTCAGCATGTGTCTTTAGAAGATCAGGTGTTCAAAAAAATATACGACCACAAAACTACTATGACTCTTAAAAAATGTAACAGTTCCTGAGTTTTATCTAATATCCAGTTCATATTCCAATTTACCTGTGTATCTCTAATTTTTACTATTCGATTTTTCAATCAGAATCCAAATAGGGATTACATTGGTTACAAGTAATCTCTAACAGTTGCCTTTATTTGCCCCTCACCCCCAATCATTTTGTTGAAGAAACCAGGTCATTTGCAGCTGATTGCTTTTTCCTGATATCATTTAACTTATTCCTCTGTGCTGCCTGTACCCTAATTCCTCCCTCCTTTAATAGGCGTCCTTTATTGGTTGATAGATATGTTGATTGGTGCATCCTTTTGTTGTTTTTTTGATAATATACGCACATAAATATATAGTTAGATACATACCACCCCCGTTTACATAGAAGACCCATACCATAAATATGTTCTGCACCCGTTTTCCCACTTTGACCATATGTCCAGAAGTCTATCAGTATGCTGAGATCTTGACTGTTTCTTGTCTTTCTTTCCTTTTTTTAAAAAAAAAAAAAAAACGCAACTCTTTGTAGTACTCCATTGTATTACACGCAGCGTAGTTTTTAATACTATGTGATTGGTTTTGTTTTTTTGTTTATTTTAGACTGGAACTCTTACTGAAGATGGCTTAGATCTTTGGGGGATTCAACGAGTGGAAAATGCACAGTAAGTATTAGCTAGACTTGATACTTTATTAGTTGATTTTTAATAAATAACATGCAACATTCAAACATGTAGGATGCAATATAAGAGACAACTGTATACCTACCACTAAGGTTAAATAGTTGACATTATGCCATATTTGCTTCAGATCTCTTCTTTTAGAGGATTAAAATATTAAAGAATCACTAAAGTCTCCATCTATCCCTTTCCTTATTCCTGTCACCATTCTGAAGTTTTGAAAATGTTTGCATATTTTATATTTTCACTACATATATAATCTATAAATACATATATGAATGATGTACATATGTTCTGCTGCTTTTTTCCTCTCCTAACATTGTTTTCAGGATTGTTGATGTTGATATGCACTGATGTAATTTATTAATTTTAACTGTTCTATCTTATTCCATTATATGATTAAACCATAATGTCTGTTCTTCTACTGAGGGATAATTTCATTTTTTCTCCTTTTTTCTCTGTACTTTCACAAATAGTGCTGCAATTAAAATTCTTACACACAACTTTTTGTGAGCATGTGGTTTCAGTGAGCTAGGTCCCTATGAGTATAAATGCTAGGTAATAGCATGGGTACAGGTTCAGCTTTACTAGGTATTGCCTAATTGCCATCTAAGTGGTGGTGCTTACTTACACTCTTCTTAGGGGATAAAAATCTTTTTGCCAAACTTAATATTGTCAGACTTGTAAATTTTGCCAAATGAATGGATATAAAATGGGTATTTCATTGTGGCTTTATTTATATTCTCCTTGTTACCTAAAAAGTTGAGCATCTTTTCACATTTTTGGAGGGAAGGGCCATTTAGCGTTCTTCTGTGTATTGTCTGTTTATTAGATATATCCTAATCTTTCTATTGTGTTAAGTCTTTATCTTATTCATTTGTTAGAATTTCTTCTATTTTTTGGGTAGTAATCTTTTCAGTACTATGTATTACAAATATACTCCACTAGTGTCTGGCTCATGTCTTTGCTTTTGTTGCCTTTTGAAGCACAGATGTTTTACTACTATAGTTGTGTTTATGTCATTTTTCCCCCCTCAGAAGTCTGCTAGATTTTGGTTTATATAGCTGGAAAGATAGTATTGTACAGTTCATATAATTTCAAGAGTTGTTACATTTTCTTGCTTAGTAGTATGTCACATTGTGACCTTATTTATCCCTACTAATGCATGTTGCCTTAAATTCTCTTTCATCTAATATTTATATACCTCTACACCAGCTTTCTTTTCCCTAATGTTTATGTAGTATACTTTTGTCACCTGTTTACCTTTGAATCTTTCTGTGCTATTGTGTTCACATTTATTCAGATATATTTGAAATTATTTCTGCCATCCCTCACACCAAATTTTGTATACACATTTTCTCATTCTCTTATATTTCTCTCATTTTCTGAGTTTATACATCCTAATCTTTTATAGTTTGTTCTTTTTTTTTTTTTGAGACAGAGTCTCTGTTGCTCAGGCTGGAGTGCCATAGCATTAGCCTAGCTCACAGCAACCTCAAACTCCTGGGCTCAAGGGATCCTCCTGCCTCAGCCTCCCCAGGAGATAGGACTACAGGCGTGCGCCACCACCCAGCTAATTTTTTCTATTTTTCTTAGAGATGGGAGTCTCACTTTTGCTCAGGCTAGTCTCGAACTCCTGAGCTCAAATGATCTTCCCGCATTGGCCTCCCAGAGTGCTAGGATTACGGGCATGAGCTACCGTGTTCGGCCCCTGGTTTGTCCTTAAATTATTAATATTCATACTTATAGTCCAAAGTTCATGGGAGTCAATACTGTCTTTTACACCCAAAACCTATGGACTGTAGAATACTTTTGATTATTCCTCTTCTTCTTATGTATTTGTTTTTTATTTTATTTTTCCCCTCCCACCTCCTCCTTGTGTATTTACATACTATTTATGATTATAATTTTGTACTTTTATATAGTCTACATGCTTAGATTTACCTAGGTGTACAAATATCTTAACCATTGCTTCTTATATCCCATTCCTCTGGATTAAATTGCCGTCTTCTGTAACTACATATTAGTTTTATTTCACTGTCACTCTTGAGTGATGGTGTAACTGTACAGACATCTCAGTTGATAGTTGTGTTCTCTCAGCACTTTGAAGATGTTATTCCTTTTCTCCTGATGTTTTTTGTTATTTTTGTTGAGAAATCTTAGTGTCTTTAGTGATCTCTTTTCTCTCTGGTTGCTTTATAAATATTTCTTTATCCTTGATTTCTGCAGTTTCACTGTGATCTTTTTATGTGTTTTGCTTCTTGACTCCATGGATTCATGTTTTTCATAAATTCTGCAAAATTTTCAGCTTCTTTTTCTTCCATTGTGGTCTTCCACTCATGCTTTGTCTTTTTTCCGTCTGAGAGTCATAACCATGTTTGGACAAGAAAATGTACTTGGTTCTTTCCAAATCTGCCCCCACCTTCACTCTCTGATTGTCTTACTCTTTTTCTAAGTCTAACTCAAAAATGCCCTTTTTTGCATTCTTTGAAATTGCCCTTCTGTTATCTCAGATTTGTGGCATTCTGATTGTGTCTTTGTTATGTCTGTTGACTCTCCTGGTGAATTGTTTCCTAGTGTATGTTTAAATTATGGACTCATCCTTAGCAGGATTTTTCTTTGAGACTCCTTCGTGGCTGTGCTGTGGGGAGCTCCCCTCTAGAGAAGTTTTAACTTTACTTGGCTAAGCGTACCAGTGGTATCAGTGGTGCCAGACACACTTAGGTTGCTCTGTAATTTGTGGGTTTCTGAACCAGGCAGTAGCATATATTCAAATTCAAAACTCATTCTGTGTAGTGTAGTGGTTCAGAGGCCTTCAAACCAGACTCCTGTTTCATCCTTGCTCTGCTACTTAGAGGATGTGTAACCTTGGACAACTTACTTAACCCCACCCTGTTTCAGTTTTCTCATCTATGATGGGATAATGAAACACCTTCTTATGGTATGAGATATAATGAGTCAGTACGTGTAGAAGTTCTTAGAATAATGGCTTGGCACATAGTAAATAATATGTAGATACTAGCAGTTTTCTTGAACTTTTGAGTGAGAGAAAAGAGACAGGCTTATTCTAATTATGCATTTGAGTCTGGGGGTAAATTTTTTCTAGTCTACCATTTTTCCAAGGGTGTGTAGCTCTTCAAGAGCACTCTGGCTTTCTTGGGTCAGAGGGATTCTCTCAGTACCCACTCTCCAGCTTTGTATGGGGCCAGGACATTGTTTCCTGCTCCTTTGTGAGCATTAAACTGTAACTCCTTAGGGTATTGCGGTGCCACCCCTGCCGCCCCCCCCTGCAGCCATAGCATCTGCTCAAGTCCACATCCCTCTGGTTTTCCTTTCTCTTATTTCTGGCACTTGAAAATTTCCTTTACTTATGAGCTCAGTTTTGGATTTAAAAGTTTTTTTTTTTTCTTTTAATTACAAAACCTGAAAAGGCCTTTTAGAATATCATCTTTAGAATATGAAACTAATTCAGTGTATTTTCTGTTTAGATTTCTTTTACCAGAAGAAAACGTTTGCAATGAGGTGTTGGTAAAATCCCAGTTTGTTGCTTGTATGGCTACTTGTCATTCACTTACAAAGATTGGAGGAGTGCTTTCTGGTGATCCACTTGATTTGAAAATGTTTGAAGCAATTGGATGGGTAAGTTCAGTATTTTAAAGTATGAATAACTTTACCGTGAAAGGAACTAACTATGTAATTTCTTAAAGATATATTGCCGGAAAAATTTAAAAATTGTGTAAAATGTGCCTGTTAAAATTTTTTTTTTTTTTTTTTTGAGACAGGGTCTTGCTCTGTCACCAGGGCTAGAGTGCTGTGGTCTTAGCCTAGTTCACAGCAACCTCTAACTCCTGGGCTCAAGCAATCCTCCTGCCTCAGCCTCCCTAGAAGCTGGAAATATAGGCGTACACCACCACACCCGGCTAATTTTTTCTATTTTTAGCAGAGACGGGGTCTCACTCTTGGCTCAGGCTGGTCTCGAACTCCTGAGCTCAAGCAATCCTCCTGCCTTGGCCTCCCAGAGTGCTAGGATTACAGGTGTGAGTCACTGCGCCCAACCAAAAAGTATCTGTAAATTAACTCATTTAGACACTTTTAATAGAGGCTGACCAGCTTAGGCCCCTTGTTATGTTTATAAGATAAAGCAGGGATCAGAAATTTGGGGCAGTAGGCCAGAAGTCAGTAAGAATGTCTTGAGTGTCACAGGCAAAAAAATACAAAGTAGTCGTGTATCTTCAGTGTTCCTTTGTACCTGGTCTCTATTTTCTGTTGTTTCCCCTTTCTCCCCCTCCTCTGTTTTTTTTTTTTTT